ACCGCGTTGATCTCATAATCGAGAGCCTCTTGATTAGTATAATTTGTTTCGAAAAAAGCGATTACGAGTGAATTTAATTAGCTTCGCAACGTGCAATTGTGCATTTTCTTTTTTTTTTTTTTTTTTACCATAGTCGCAACAAAAACCGGGATAACGTCCAAGCCGATACGCTTACTGTGCGAAATCGAAGTTTATTAAAATACTGTGCCCTCCAATAAATGTGAGTCACGCTTTCTGCTGATTGTATACTTTACTTTTTTTTTAAATTGCATTTTTACTCGCAGCTGTTATTACTCGAATGGCTGCACTTAACATCTCGCATCAATGTTGCAACTTTCTTCCAGCGTAATGAGTGAAAATGAGTCTGCAGATTTTCAAAGGTTTTATCGACAACATGTTATAATCTTTTCGCGAATATACTGAAATAGTAACATATTAATAATAATAATCAGTTAAAATACATATCTATTTAATAATGGTAGGTTTTGAACAATCCTGCGCACATATATCTGCATGATAATATCGCGGATGCGTTATCGAGCGTATATATACGCATCCTATATAATAGATCAATATCTTGGAACTGGAGCGGCCAATGCTATTCTGTGAGTAGAAGGTAGAATGATAAATGAAGCGTTCGAGATCAGAGTAGGTTGAGTCCATAATTCGTGAAATCCCCTTTCGGTGCTGTCATTTTGGATACTATACACACACACGTCATATTTTCATTTTAGATAACCTTCTATATTTAGGATGAATTTTATAAAGTTAATATAATACAACGAAGATTTTAATCCATTATGGTTCTAAATTAGCTGCTGACATGAGACATTTTATGAGACGTATATCAAAGTTCAGATCTCCAATATCGGATATATATATATATATATATATATATATATATATATATATATCATTATGACAGTTTTTGGGTCACACAAAAAACACACACACACACATATCATAAAGTTAAGTAAACATTTTGTCAGGTCGTATCCCATTTGCGCTGTATTAATACATTTTCTGATCGCTGCCTGTGCATGGGATTGCATAACAATGCCTCGCTCGGATCTTGTGAGAAGAGACTTGAAATTACAGGGCAATCCCGAGTCACGCATAATAGCGCATAATCGCGCGGATTAATGGAATTCGTACTGCCTACGGCTGACCGTGCACGAAGACCGTATCGAGCCGCGTGCGCGCACACTGTACGCACGCGTGTATCACACGCGTGCTTGACGAGCGTGCCAAACTAGGGATTGACACGATGTCGACGATGTCAGCTGTGTCGTGGCAGAGCGAGTGGAATAACGATTGTGAGAGGAAAGATACTGCGATCAATATTATCTACGGTTATCCTAGAATACATGTACATGAAATTACATAATAACGAAATGCAATACGGAACAAATGCGCTTTTTGACACTGTACGATTTGATGCTGTATTCACACGTTATTACGTAAATTAGTTAAAACAGCAAGATAGAAAGGTAAAAAGAGAATAAAAAAGAAAGCTATATACGAATTGTATTTAATTTTTAAAAAATTGGGAGATTATTTGACGAAACGTTATAATGAATGATTATAAATATATATATATATATATGCACATTATTTATGTTAAATTTATATAAGTAAGTTTTATAATTTTCAAACTTTAAATAATAATTTAATACTGTGTTTTTGCTACTTTAATTAGCTGATTTTGTCAGGTAGTGTCGAATGTGCCGTTTTATTTTTAATGTTACAATTATAAATTTAATTAATTCTCAATTAATATAGTCACATTTACTAACTAAGCTATCTATATTACGTCAAAGGGAGAGTGATAAAATTACTCCAGAATTAACGAAACTAAAAATACATTTTTTAGATTGCCAAGAAAATATATTGAAGTATTGAAATATTTTCTTATAGAAAAGTTTTAAATATTTTCTGTATTGCTCTAGGCAGAATAAAAATATTCAAAATTATATGTATGAAGTTCGGTTAAGCAATCGTTCAATTATCTCGTCATACGAATTTACAACATGTCACGAGAAACGTCATTCGATTTCGCCAAACATGCCCGACGAGCATTGTCAAACACAGAATTCCTGTCGATTCCAGCTGCATCGGGAAAAGAGCGAAAGGCTGGAATACCGATCGATGAGCGGAATGACGAAGAAGAAATGTGGGAGGTGTGAAGACAGCAGCTGTGACGTTCGATGTCAGCTTTTTGCGAAGGTCTTTATTGTAGACCGTTCGTTATCCCGAAAAACGCCGTGCGTCGCGTTTTAATGAAAAATATTCGCCGTAGCTTGATTTCAGGATCGGCGCCCCGCGATTTTTGCATTTTAATATTTTCTGTACTGCCTGAAAAAACACCGGGCGAATAAATCACGCATCCCCTTTGCATTTTAACCGTTTCAACTATTCAGTATAATTTCAATATGAGATTTATTTTCACGTTTATCTATAGGATATTCTAAGCGGAGTATAGTGAAGTATTTTGAGCATATAGTTTTTGATCAATTTGAAATCGATTATTTCGCAGCGAAAGTATCGAGGAAAATTACGATCTGTCGCAAATTCTTTCACTTTGGTCGTAATCAACCGCGTCAGAGATCAGTTTTGTGTAGCATCGAAATTTGAACACATCGAAAATAATTGCCACTTACAATTGCTGATTTATGTCACGTCGATGACGAAAAAGGATCGAATTATAATGTCGAAGAGAAAAGGGGCGCGAACGAGGCCGAGCAGAGTTTTGCGACATGTCCGTTAAGCCGAGCATACAAAAACTCGCAACTCGACTAAGCCCGTCGAAGAACGATCTCGTGCCAGTTTCTCTCGTCAATCATCTTACGCCGGTCGCCGCAGCAGCTTATTCTCGCCCTGAAATTTCTTTCTCGTCGCGAATTTTTATGTCGTTGACCGCCACCTGAATCAATTTAATAGTCGATTACTTTCCGAGAGAATATCCAATAAACTTGGCTTCTTTTTTAACGTAATACTGTATATACATATCAATTTCCTATAAATTAAGTGCATATGTACATTTTATTTAATCATTTTTAGTGTCTTTTTATTCAATATTTTCTATTGATCTAACAATCAATGATATTTCTTTTTATTCAATATCATGATTTTTATATGACATAATCCTTTATTTTTTAATTTAATCCTTTATTTATTACATTAATTTAATGTTTTTTACACACCTATCTATTACATTTTTATTATTTTAATTGTTGCTTAATTACGCTGGTCTTGCAATAATAAATAAATCTTTTGTTCGCTTCCTCTTCTTCTTCTTCTTCGCTTTTAAATTACAGTTTTATCCAGTGTACGATTATCTCGTGGCGATCTATTTTCGCTGGTGTGTTCAAATCGTAATCCGATGCGGCCGATAGATACGGGTAATTTACCAAGCCGGAGGACAGTTGTTTTTTCCCCGATTCTCCTCGATTGATTGGCAATTTCGTCGAGCGCATGTGAAATCGATTCGAGCCGCCGTCGGCGTCGTCTAAAGTCAATCGCGCGCTAACGAACGCATAACGACCCCCGATAATCGAATGGATCTCTCGTTCTCGTATTTTAACAGGGGAGGTACGCGAACACCTGATAAATTTTCGGATTTGGCCGGGAATTTCGGACTCGACCGATTCGACCGTCTACACTCGATAACTTTAGGTTAACTGAAGGTTTTCGATTACAGGGAAATTCGCGAAATCAGTTTCTCTGATCAATTTTCGATTTCCCGACACAATTCCTACATTATTCAAGTTTAATCGCACTCGATGCGAAATCTGCAAGAAAACTCGATATCGACTGACTTCGCATTTTATGAGTTGGAAGAAACTATTATTGATTTTTCATTGTTATTGTTATACAATTTTTAATTTTTTTAAATTCACATGCCGTATATATTGTTGCAATCAAATATCATAGAACATTTTAAACTGTGTTATTATGACATCAATTACTTCGTTTTTGCGTCGAAATATATTCTTTTCTTATATAGGGAACGCTGACTTTTCGTTGCTCGCTTTAATATGCGGAAATGCAAAAACGGCAAGCATGTTAAATTGACTGGGCGGGGCCGTTACTTGCTACGAGATTATCGGGCGAAGTTTGGTTCCTGTAAGTTTAGCTCGGGCATCTCCCATGAAATTAGGTGGCGAGACCCTCGTCCCGTGTTTCTGGAGCGTGCCCGAGCAACGCATCAATTTCTTGGCAACTATGTCGTCGGAGATGAATACCAAATTGCTCCGCAAACCCACCCGACGACAGTCACTTCAATGATGTTTAATCCGATACTAAGTTCGCCCTTTATATTCAATATCGTCTGAAAATTAATACTGTCTCAACATTTTTAATACATGAGTTTTGCTCTAATTTCTGTTCATTTGCGGTTACATGATATCGAAATAATTTTTTGCATTTTTGCGATTTGAACAAGCGCACTTTACAGTTTCTCAAATAAAAACAAATATTATTCTCCATGTTTTTTTCCCATCAATTCAAAAATGTTATTTTGACACAAAATTCGTTGAACTATCGGGGATTTTTTTCGTTTTTATTTTTATCGCGCACAATCCAAATTTTTTATCTCGGAGTAAAATTTACGAAATTCTTAAAATTTACTTATTTTTACTTTTATTCTTTCGAAATCTTGATTTTATTGTTTTCGGATCTTTTTTTCCTCGGTCCAAAATTTCTCTCCCGAAATTCTCGGTTCCGCTCTTTCTCTCCGATTTTTACTTTGAAATCAGTTTGAAACGTCGATCTCATCGTCATGAATTTGCGTCGCGGAACGCGTGAAAATAATCTTTATACTTTTGGTGTGGGATCCGGTTCGGAAGCGGAACCGGAATCCGGGTTGCTTATGGGAGAAAGAGAGATAAAGAGGGAGAGAGAACGACGGGACAAGGACGGCCTGGGATGCGCATGTTCGCTCGCAAGGGCGAAGCGGCGCTATAAACCATTCCGGACGGTTCATATCGCGGCGCGCTGCCACCGCGGCAACACGTTTTCGCGAGTGCTCCCGGGGAGGTCTTGCGTGGAAACGAACAGCTGTTGTTCACCGTTTCTTCCCGATCTTCATTTTGGAGCTTTCTTAAGAAAAGCGAGAGATCGATGAAAGCGGCGTAGAATAATCGATTCGGCATTGATGAAAGCGATGTAGAATAAATCGGTCGACTTCGGATTGATATATGTTTCGGACGTGGTGCGAAATTCGCGATTTGTGAGTGAGAGACGAGCTCTCAAACGGGGAAAAAGCTGGCGAGGCAGATCGTGACAAGGGGGAAGATTTCGGAGCTGTTGGAACTGTTGGTGCTGCGCTGGGCCAGGATGTCGTTCTTCAGGGGTTTGTGGAAGAGCAGCTCGAAGCACAAGAGTGAGTTCAGTTTGGCTGGTCGGTATAGAGGCAAGTTAGAGAGTGAAGGAAATGAGTTAGGGAAATCTTGGGGCTCTTGGGAGATTCGAATTCCAAATACATAGACAGATGAATTCTGCGAGATAGTCAAATCTAATCGTAAATGGCAGAAAATAAAATTTTGAAGAAGGGAAGGATATGTCGAGATCGTATCTTTCAAAGATTCTCAGCGATTCTCTACGATATCTATGTTCTATTATTGGCATTTACGTCAATTTTTGTAAGAAAAATGTGATGACATTTAGGTAATTCGTCAGAAAAAGTTTTCATATTATTACTTTCTATCGTCAATTTAGGATACTTTTTAATCGAGAATTTTGACATGCAGATTTGATGTCGAGAAATTTACAGGGCATAATTAAAAACGTTATTTTAAGACTGACACATTTAAAAGCAAAACTAAGTGTAACGCTGTCACTTATTTGCGATTGAACGCGATTGTTAATCGTAAAACGTGAAGTTTATCGTATAATTATATTGAACTATAAAAACAAAATGCGAACGTAAATTGATTGTTTTAAGCAGGATGTGGATATCAATTGGAGTAATAATATGTATTTATAGTTTAGTAAAATTTTCGACATTGATTTTTAACGACTTTTAAAAATACATGATTCGATGTGCTTTGAGTTAATATTTGTAGCTAATTTGCGAAGTTTGCGTTACGAAAGATTAGAGAGATTGATTGATTGATTAATCGTCATTTATTAAACGCTCTGAGAAAGATCCCCTAAAGCGTTAAGACATTGTTACACAATATACAGAGAGAGAGAGAGCGAGAGAGAGAGCGCCATTTATTTTTATTTTACCTGTCCTCAGTTTTTTAAACTCTTTATCTCTGATAAAAAAGCGTCATGTTTTATTATATACTTTAGCATATTTGTGTAAAATTAAAAGGATTGCAAAACTTGATGGAAAATAGGATCTTAATATACTGAAATGATCATTTTGCAATATCATAATTATTAAGGCATTGGTAGTCGAAGTCAATTTTGCATGTTAATAAATTATCTTATATATTCTACAATATATAAAAAGTAATAATGATAAAAGCAAAGCTTATATCGTGCTATATAAAAATATATTTCCGGCAATTAAATATTAAAAAATAAATTGATGATATAACTTCTTGCGTGATAAACAGTTTTGATTTAAAAAGCAACAAAAGTTCTGCGGACATACTGTCTACGTATATTTATATCGCCTATATACTTAACCCTTGCTACTCATTGATTTTCATGAAGGGGAATCATTTTGTATTCACCATTCAGATTCGACCTCGTCAGCGTTATATTCATAAAATCTTGTATTTCCAATAGCTTTTTTCTCAGTTTAAAAAAATATATTAGTTATAGATAATATCGGGAAAAAGGTGTTAAGATTGATAAAATTATTTATAAATAATAAGATAAACCATATTGCTTTATAATTTGCAATTATGGAACAATGAAAGCTCATAATGTCTAATTTTAATTTGCAAAAATTAATAATAACAATAAAATTATGACAAGAATAATAATAGTAATTATATAATTATATCTACATATAATAATATCTACATACATAGAGGAATATATACATTTTAACATAGAAATATGCACATAATCAATTCAAGCGTTACACTTCCTCAATTTTGATTGCAGAAAACGTAAGGAAAATTCTCAGAAAGTACAGTTAAAATGATAAATTTGATAATAATAAAATAAATGATCCTTGATTCGCTCACTTCGTTGGCGATTTAATTTATTAGAATCTCGCTGGTCTTTTAGAGTAGAAACCTCGCAATGAAGATTTCACGAATGCCATCCTTCTTCGTAGTGGATCCACGTGCTCCGCCTTCCGAAAGTAAAAATTAAACGACGCCGCGTTGCACTGTCACGGCGATATTGGCAACATGACTGGCTGGTCCTCCGGAACCGATGCTCCCAGCCGGGAAAACTTCCAAAATGACGGATGAAGTATGAATATTGTAGCGTATCGTGTGCCGCGCGTACAAAGAGAGTCAGCTTGATTAATTGAAGGGATTCTCCCGGGAAAATGTTTTACGTGACGCAGATGTCGCGTTTAATGAAAAAAACACGTATATGTTTTGCAGTGTAGAAACAGCGATTTGTATTAAAATTTACAAAATGAAATCGAAGTATACCTATGTGTAATATATTATATTTAACACAATAAATACTTTACTTGACACATTTTGTCAAATAAATTATAAATAATTTTTTAGCATACATGAAATTTCTTTAAAAATGCATTTATACTGTTTTTATTGCAACAGTAATGCCGTTTTTCCGCGAAATACGTTGTCGGTTGCATTTGTAAAAATTTATGTACATTATTAAAAATGTGGAACGGAACACTCATATGAATACTGTGACGCATTGCGTTATTTGTGGCAACTTATTAATTATGAATTAGAAGCTTTCTGATTATATTATCTTTCTTTTGTTCGTTGCAATGTGCCGCTTTTGATGAAAAGATATTTAACTGTCCGACAAAATCCATGAGACTGTAAAAATGCCGAATGAAATATCCGCATGAATATTAGAGTATATCATATTTCAATGCATGCATCTCGTTAATTATGAAACAGAGAGATATGGAACGATATTTAGTGCTAATTATTTTTCCGTGAAATATATCGTACGTATCATTTTACACACACACGCACACACAAGCTTGGCTTATTTATCTGTAACAACAAATTTCCCATTGTTCGTAACATTAAACAAACTATAACTTGCAATATTATTTAAATTTGTATTTGCGTGTCTATTTACATATACACGTAAGCAAGTTATAACGATAACGCGAAACAGGTAAAAAGGATGCAAATAACTACTACAGAATATAAATTAGCAATTTTTGTCTTTCCATTAATTAATAAAAAATATAACGAGAGGAGACAAAAGCTAGGTGTAATTTCATATTTATTTATGCATGCGTGTTTCCGATTTACATTATACTTTTTGTTAATCTAAATCTTTGCTGGTACGATTATTTTTAAAAGCTAAAATAGTCGCTTTCTTTTATTTCACTATTTTTGCTAACTTTGTTATCGGGACGGACTCGTATGGAATTCATGTTCATTAAGGTCGCAATAACCGCGCGTTTATCGAGACGATCGAACGCACGGCAATTTTGCAATTTCCCGAGAGCTCGCTCGGCAAGATTAACGGCTACTATGCGCGGCTGCGAAATGTCGGGAAGTGATAACAGAGAGCCGCTGTAACAGCAGCAACAGCACTAGCTGCACAGCAACGCAGCGGCGCAGTTAACGCGATTATTCGCAATAAGCGCCGTAATAGAGCCACCTTCAAGATTATGGTAATGCATGCGCCGGCTCGCGTTATATAGCCGTAATGCGATCGACCCCTTTCGCACGCTGATTATTGATCTCTATTGATATAATTTGTATAAATCCGCGACGGAGGCCGCGATTCAATGCTGATGGCAATCGAAAAGAATACAGAGCGAATTTCGAATTTCGTTCATCGAGATTATTTATCGCGGCGTCGAGCCCACGTCGTTCGAGATTACGTTCCCATAAAATACTTTAACATCAAAGATTATTGATAATTATTGATAATTGGTAATTATTATCACACTGAGAAAAAAAATTTGTCAATTCCAAGAAATATTTAGTCCGATACGTTCAACTAAACATTTTAGTTAGTTAACTAAACATTAGTTGAATTAATTAATTCTTGATTAAAGAAACGAAATAAATTGTTGAAACAACTAATATTTAGTTAACTAACTAAAATGTTTAGTTGAACGTATCGGACTAAATATTTCTTGGGATTAACAATTTTTTTTCCCAGTGCATTAATTCAGTTGTATTATATGCGAATTATATTCGGACTCTCTGCAAATAAAATGCTTGATTTGTTTCGCTGATATGTTCCCTGCTTAGCTGTCAGTTTTTACAATAGTTATTTAATAATTATTACGTTTACAAATTTATTTTTTCATTTCAAACAAACTTTAGTTGTGGAGAAAAGTCTTTTAAAATTACGCGCTACCGTAGGTATATCTTAGCACACTTTTAAACTTGGCTTTAAATATTTTTCACCGCAGTTGCTGCGAATGTAATTGTTTTATCAACTTTTACAGCACAACGGGTGGTAATTTCAGTTTCTTGTTATATAACACTGCTAACTGCGAGATTTCCTTCGGGATATGAGAGACTGTTTCGTCGCGCTTCGTGTAAAGTAAATGTATATTCGAAGCTGTTTCTGTAGAATGTTATGATAGTAGTCGCCAGAATATTGAACACACAGTTCACGTTTCGCGTTGTGTTAATAAATATTGTTCATTTAGAGTGACTCTATTTAAGGTATATGAAACAATTGCTTAAATATGAGATTTTGTGTACGTGGACGTAAAAATATGCTCTACAATCTCCATAGAGAGTAATTCCGCAATAATTTCTCCATATTCTATATACAATAATATATATTCACGTAGCTTCCAGTTACAAATTCTTACACGAAAAGAACATATCTCATGTAAAACGCACGTAACGTTTCCTTTATCTCAACTTCTGAAGTTTACCGCTATAGGCTTTGGTTCCATTCTGTATACAATCTAACATCAACGTCACCTGCGTACTGTATAATCAAATGTCAACACGATGAACGACACATGAATATTCCTTCCACCGCGTCCAATTGCATCATCAGATTGGCAAGTGCTTCGTAAACGGACTGTCAATGCTCTCGTGGATATCGATGTGCAATCAGATGCGCTCCGTACATGTATTAGTGTATTGACAATATAACTGTTCTTTTTTTGAAGAGGGATACGTAGTTACCGCGAAGGAATGTGGTTTTGGTGGAGGAGCGATATCGTGGGAAACAAAGTATCGCACAAGCTGTCCTTTGGTGAACACCTCTAAAGTGCAGCGACAGTATAATTAAATTCTGTCGCGGTCCAATTAAATTTTCTATATGGTCCTG